CAATTGTACATTTTCCGTGGTACACACAGGATAATTGCCAAATTGTTCAATGATGTACTACTTCTGCCCCTTTACAAATAGCACCATGCTTGTTTTTTAAAAAAGCACTTTGAACAAGAATAAAAATTCGACAAGTTTGGMAAATTTCTGAAGACACTTGCTCATATAGAGGTTGCTCCAGCACTACAAAATGTGTTTGTTAAATGATAAACTATTGTTGCTGGGCTTGGAAGCCAGTGGCTTGGGAGGATGAGGCAGGAGGTTTGCAAATTCAGCCCCTGCAATTATTTAGGCTCTAATCAACTTAGTGAAACCCTGTCTCAAAATAAAAAATAGAAAGGGTTGGGGATGTGGCATAGTGGTAAAACATCTTTGGGTTCAATCCCCAGTACCAATACATACATAAAGTTTTAAAAATTGGCGAATTCCTCTTGGTTAGAGATTTGACATTTGAGGAAGATAGACTTCTTATGTTTACCTCTAAATCTAACAGAAAAATAAGCACATGCTTTACTTTGGGTAATGGATGGCACTTTCAAAACTCTCTCCCCTGTTTTTAATCAGATATATACAATTTACACTCCTGTTGGATGTAAAAATTCTAGAGTTTATTTGTTCATCTATGTGCTAATGCTTGGAAAAACTGAGGTACTTTATAAGTGTTTMTTTGAAGATTTGGTGGACTTTGAAGAAGAAAGTGAATTGTAAATTCAAACCATAATGACAGACTTGGAATTAGGTGTAATCAAGCTTTCTAAAAATCAATTTCTAAGGTGTTACCAATCAAGCTTGTTTTTTCCATTTAGACCAGTGCATTGGGCAGAAAAGTCAGATGAATGGATTGACCATAAAATACAGCCACAATGAAAGCTTCACTTTAAATATTCCTCCGTTTGCATTGGCATTCCTTCTAGCTAATGAAACTCTAGGAACTGTGTGTGTGTGTGTGTGTCTGTGTGTGTGTGTGTGTGTGTGTCTGTGTGTTTTTACTGGGGATTGAACTCAGGGCCTTATGCATGCTAGGAAAGTGCTGCACTGAACTACATACATCCCCAGCCTCCAGAAATTTTAAATGAATTAAAGCTGCATTTGCCTGAAAAAAAAAAAAACAGTGAAATTATTGTTTAAAATTGTCAGCATTCTCTCTATACTTATTTAAAATTGTCAGCATTCTCTCTATACTTGGCTATGAAATCATTTTATCTTTGCATTGTAGGGTAAGAAGTCCCGCAATATGCTGTTCAATCACCTGTGTAAGTTCCACCAAATCTGTGATCTGTACATGAGTACAGATGTGTGGAATGCCTTCCCCAAACAACACAGACACATAGTGTGGAAGATGGGAAGACTTATAGGGAATGATCAAGTCAGTGGACATTAAATCATAAAAGAATTTCAAAAAGAAAAACACCATGTAGAAAATGAATGTGAATATGTTCTCTAAGGAGAGCAAGGCCTTAAAAGAAAGCAAGCAGGTATTTATCATGATGCAAGACTTCAAAATACAATGATCCTGAATGTCTGTCAGTTCTTAGGATTACCTCTGTGCAATTGCCCATAATTTATCTCTGTAATATGTCTTTGCCATGTGTCAATTTTCTTTTGTAGTTTTTCCTCATCATTTAAAATTGTCAGCATTCTCTCTATACTTGGCTATGAAATCATTTTATCTTTGCATCAATTCCAATAAGGAAGCTATAAACTGTGCAAAGACTTTGAGTGTTCTCATTCATTTTATGCAAATTTGATTCTCAGAAAGTGAATTGTAGCAAAGTTGACTTTGTGCATTTTATGTAAAAATGTCAAAACCTCCTCAATKAACAAAGAAATGTCCTGTGTGTACATCTTCGTTTATGAAGCAAATTTTTGAGATCTCAACTCTGGGTAACTGCATATGCTGGGCAAAGTGCAATGCAGTTTTTATGAGCTTCATCAWGACTGTCACAATGTTTCAGATGATTAGTTATAAATCTGAGTATACACAATTACTAACTATAGTGATATGTGTTTATACATTTAAATTTGTTGACACATTTCTTAGTTAATATGGCTCATCTGTTCATAAATGTGAATTGATTAATATACTATAGTGTATTAATATGTTCATAAATTTGAAACTATGAATATACTATATTAACTATCAATAATATATTAACATATGATAGTTAAATATTTTATTAACATATATGTAAAAATATTTTATTGTCTATTCTGTTATACAAAGTGGTCTAGGAAGTATTCTCTTGTATTCTTATGTTTCTCCAATAAAACCCTTTTTAGAAATGTAAATAAATGTCTCTTAAAGAATATTTTCATTATTTTTTCCAGAGTTATAGTTTGGTGTTTCAAAGTTGGGGAGTTAATGGATTTTGATCTTTCAGAATTTTAACATTGGGGGATATGGCATTCAAGATTCTGTCTTTTAGGAATATGACCCAAGCCTATTCATAGCAGGTGGTGTTTTCTTCCATCATGATCTATGCAATAGCTGGTTGCTTTTTTGCAATGTTAACAAGCATTGGTGAATATTGCCTAAAATACAAAAAGGGTAAATTCTTTAAAATTTAAGAATAGTAAATTCTTGATTAGTTCCTTCTTTCATTAGCAGAAATACTTTTATCATGGAAATTTCTCCTATTCAACTATGTGATAACCTTGAGGTAGAGTCCATATTTTTAGAAGTAGCAGAGATGCTTAATTTTATTATTAAAATAATGAACTGGCTCAGCAGTATCTTTCAAGTAAAACCACTAATCAATTTTTGGTTTTGAGTACCATTATTAAGTTGGGGCAGCTCTTTAGTCACATGGCTCTGTCCTGTACTTTCAACCTTTACTGCAGGGCAATCTACCTAAACATGGTGGGACAGGGGTTGGGGAGTGGGAGATGGGCCATAAGCAGACAGCAATTTGAAAGACTTGGCAAGGTTGGGGGGATCTTGAGTGCTTCTAAATCAATTCATCATGGAAAAGGATCTTCGGATCCCATGACTTTTCTATTTGCTACGTACTAAACACTAGATCCCTCCAGTCCCTTTGGCCTCAAAGAATATCATTTTGGAAACTCTGGTTTCCAAAGTCATTAATTCCTGGTTTTTTAGTTATTCATATTGCCTTAGAAATACGTAAATCCATCTTTACAAGCCTCAAGCAACCAAAGAAAGATGAGCTAATGCTCTGGAAAGGGAATGTTTGACCCTACTTTCTTAAAGATAGCCCATTCAGAAGAGAAACAAAATCATCCTGTAATGCTAGGGAGAGGGGAAGAAGGAGTTGATGTTATTGGTTCTCAATCCGGGATGTTTGTCAACTGAAACATGTTTTTAAAAACACCCATCCCCTAGCAACACCCCTATGGAATTTGATTCAATTGGTCTGGACTGAAACCCAGGAATTGGGAGTTCTTATAAATTTTCATAGTCTTTTTGCAAGGTGACCCTACAATTTAACCAGGGGCATTTCCCTCTCCCCTAGAACTCTTTGTGGGATGATGACTGTACCACACCTAGGGCCTCATCATCTCCATCCAGTTGCCTGATGTTAGATGTTGCCCTGCTACTCAGAAGACCAAGCTAGGAAAGATGATGCCAAGAACAACTCATCCCCCTAAGCAGAGCTGAGGGATAAGGATTGCAGCTGAGCTCCAAACCTGGGTCTTTAACCTAAGACTCAGCACTGTGCCCCCATCCTCCACTCCAAGAATGGCTAAATTCACTTTGTGCCTGGCACAAAATTCAGAGTGCTTTACATCACTTGGCATTCTAATAGGTGGGGACCATCTCCATGTAACAGCTGAGCAGCCAGGGACCTGAGAGAGTTAAGTGACTGCTAAGTCACAAGCCTGATTCTGGGAGAGCTCTGGGCTCACCATGGGCTGTCACTTCCTGGCTGTGACTTTATGCCCAGGGCCCTCTCAAGGAGCTGCCTCCTTGTTCCCTTGGTATAATAAACTTAGGACTTTTGGCATCRGGGCAATCTTCAGGGTGAAGACTTAGCTGGGGTGCCAGAATGGGAATCCTCCATCRGCAGCACCACGCCTGGAGAGGACCCTGCCACAGCCTCCTGTCTCTCACCCTCTCTCACTGCTCAAAGGTCTGAGGGTGTTTGTGGGTAAAATCCAGGAAGCTTAGGGGGCTTTTTGTACCTCAAACAACTCCTACTTCCCTTTCCTAGCCACGGGGCTGATCCACAGCACCTTCTTTCACTTCCCTTTCACAGAAAAATCTCTTCGGATCCCGTGACTTTTCCTTGTGCCACGTACTGAACACTAGATCCCTCCAGTCCCTTTGGCCACCAGTGCTATCACTACCATCTAGGATTAAAAAAAAAGGGGGGAGGGGGTGCGACATTACTATCACCTAGGCCACAATCCCTAACCTAATGCTCAACCTAAGTCCCCCCACATTGAATCCTCTCAATTCCACCATTCCTAATAGTTGTCATACACCTTTCTACTCCTTCCCCACAACCGAAGGATAAGCATAGACACTGAAGCCAGACTGCCCTATTCCCCTCCTACCCGCAACCCCAGGCCCCTAGAATTGTGTATAGTCCAGAATAAACAAAAAGTAGTCTCCAGAACCACACTACATTGTTCCTCCCACCATGGGGACTCCTGGGCCATTAGATCCTGCTCAGGCTACAAAAGCAGCATTTCCCAGCTGCTCTAGGGACTTCCCCGGAAARGCCTGGGATTCAAACTGTGACGTAAGCATCTATTGACTGGCCTTGCCAGGATTTCAGGGCTCCCCATTCCGCTTCAGGCCCGCCTCGGTGTAATGCCCAACCGAGAGAAAGCTTTCAGTTTCCCAACAGTCCCGCAGGATCTACCTGAAAGCCCCGCCTTGATTGGCTGCTGCCGGAATCAGTCATCAGGCCTGCCCTAACACAGGCCGGTCCCGCCCATATACCCTTCAGGGATTGGCCCTAGCACCCCAGCCAGGACCCTATAGGTGGGAGATGAGACACCACTCCCCTGGAAAAACCACGTGGTCTGTCCAGACCAGGAAGAGAGAGAGATCTTCCAGCCATGGCCGGGGGCCACAAGGTGGAGCTGGCCGAGGCCTTGGCTTTGGGGTCCGGCTGGAGGCATGCTTGCCACGCTCTGCTTTACGCGCCCGACCCGGGGATGCTCTTCGGCCGCATCCCGCTGCGGTACGCCGTGCTGGTGAGGAGGGGGCGCGCCTGGCCACTCCCCGCCYCAGCCCTGCACGGTCCCGGGGGCGCACCTTTTGGGCACCTCAGCCAACCCTACTTCCCCTCCCTCAGATGCAGATGCGCTTCGATGGACGCCTGGGCTTCCCAGGCGGCTTTGTGGACGCGCAGGACAGCAGCCTGGAGGACGGGCTGAACCGAGAATTGCGCGAGGAGCTCGGTGAAGCGGTGTCGGCCTTCCGCGTGGAGCGCACTGATTAYAGGAGCTCACACGCTGGGGCCAGACCTCGCGTGGTGGCCCATTTCTATGTCAAGCGCCTGACCCTAAAGCAGCTGGAGGCTGTGGAAGCTGGCGCACCGCAAGCCAAGGACCATGGGCTGGAGGTGGGGCCAGCCAGGGTCCCGCCCCACACCCAATATGCCCCTCTTTCCCCAAAGAAATCCTCCCTGAAAGGAGTCATAACCCTTGAGACCTTGCGATCTTCYGCAGTTTCTAGGAGTAGTTGGGATTTTGCTCATCTCTAATCAGAATAGTATTGCCAAACCAGTCTCTCTCGCGCAGGTCTGYCCTCTTCCCCCACCATATCAGCCTCTACAGAGATCTTTCTAGAGCACATCCATCCAAGTTTCTCCGTTGTTCCTTATTGATAATGTGATAATGATCAGTTGAGACACCTAAGCACTTAATTTTGGGCCCCCTTTTTTTCTTAGAAGTTATGACCCGTGCTAAAGGCTAGGCGAATAGAGACAGATTGCGTACAGAGGTATTTTATCAAATTGGGCACATATCAGAATCACAGGGAGAAGTTATGAAAACAGTGATTACTATGCTCACTTTAGAAATATATACTCAAACAGTGATTTCCTGGATCCCATTCTTTCGATTGCTAGTGAGAGGTGGGGCTGGAGGAAGTCTTGAGAATTTGCATTTTTCACTAGGTCCCAAGTGATGCAGAAACAGCTACTGTAGATTCCACATTCAAGAACCTCAGCTATAGAGCTATACCTAAATCCTAGAGGCTGGAATCACTAAAGGTTTCAGGGAGSGAGGTAGTAAAGATTAGCATTTATGGAGCTGGAGAGCATGTCTTGGATTAGGCACCTGCTCAGGGTTGGGATCACTCAACTTCACTGAGGTATGAGCCTTGGAGCTGGTTCTGCCTAGTTGTTAAGGGAAGTAAGATCTTTGCTCTAGAGAGATCTGTTGCAAAAAGGATCCAGGTAACATGACTAGCTATGGGGGTCCAAATGTCTCCTGTCTTGCTTTCACAGGTCCTGGGCCTGGTGCGGGTGCCTCTGTATACCCTGCGAGATGGAGTGGGAGGCTTGCCTGCCTTCCTGGAGAATTCCTTTATTGGTGCTGCCCGCGAACAGCTACTGGAAGCCCTCCAAGACTTGGGACTTCTAGAATCTGGCTCTTTCTCAAGTCTTAAGACCCCCGCTCATCACTAAATGTAACCCTCTATAGATCCATGGAACCTGATTGGGGACCTTGGGAGGAAATGATGGAGGGACAGGGGAATGTTTTCTCTTCTGGGCCTGAGAGATGAAACCAGATTAAAAGGACATGTGTGTGCAATGTGTTTTGAGCAGAGGGCCCTCCAAATTCATGACATCAGGGTCAAAAGTCCATACCTCATCCCAGCAATCCAGGCAGATTCTCAGGGTCTGCCTCTTTGTGCATGTGCATACACAGCCTGGACACCCCAGGCTTGCACAGGAACAACCTGTGACCACACAGCCTGACCCCTTTGTCCCATCATGTCTAGGCTAACCGGCAAGTGGCATTTATGGGGCCTGCCTTGTCTTTGTCCCTGCTCCTTCCTGAGGCGGGGCTTCCCCATCTCCTGCATGGCTGCTCTCCAGGGTCTATCCCAACTCAAGTTCACTGAGGAGAGCAGAGGACCCTCTGCTCCCTGAGATGCTCCCACCCTTCCCTGGGGGTTGACCATAGCTGTGGGTTATGGTACTAATGGATACCTCACTCTTTTCTTTCCTTGAAACTGAGCATAAGGGCTGAGATGGTGTCAAGGTCTTCTTTGGCTGACCTTAAGGCACCAAAGTCCTTGTGCTTGGTCTCTAGGGCTTTTGTTTTTGTGCTACCTTAGTCTCTGAGGAAATGAGCAGGGAACTGACCCAGCCCCTTATAGCCTGCCCTACCAAAAAGATCCTCTCAGTAAGAATGGATAGCTAGGCAACTAAAATCTTCAATTATTTCAACAAATACTAATTATGTACCTAAACCTGCCATGTACCATAAAAAGTGGAGAAATTCATAGCTTTTGCTCTTCTAAGACTCTAGAGCAAGGGTTGGGCAGACAGTAAATATTTTAGACTTTGTAGGTCACATGGTTTCAATGGCAACTTCTTCACTCTGCCATGTCAAAATTATCTGTTCAAATCAAATCTTGTGGCACATGCCCATAATGCCAACTATTGGGTAGGCTAAGGCAGGAGGATCATAAGTCCAAGGTCARCCTTGACAAGTTAGCAAGACCCTGTCTCAAAAGAATAGTAATTAAAAAATACTGGGGATTTAAAAATTAAAATTAAAAAATTTTAAAATTAAAAATAATGGGGATGTATTTCTGATAGAGTACCCATGGTTTTAATCCCCAGTATAACCAACAGCAAAAATATTATCTGTACGATGCATAAATATATTTGTATTGCTGTAGCCCATTAAGACACTAATAAAAAAGCAGTTGGCTAGCCTCTGGTCCATAGATTACTAAACATCTGCTCTAGGAGGAAGTAAGATTAAAAATTTTCTTTATGTGTGCCTGTTTACTTGCTCAGCGTTCACAAGGAAATAAATRAGCTATGATATAGTCCCATTTTAGTACTTGGGCTGTTTGGAAGGGTCCTCTTTGGTGAACATTTCAGAGACGGAAGTGATCACATAGGTGGGAAGTGTTTTCCAGCAAGAAGCATGTGTCAAGGCTGAGAGGGGGGGAGAAACGTGACACACCATCCCAAAACTTGATAACATAATATTTAATGTAGTATTTCATATTTCACAATTTTGTGGACCAGAAATTTCCAAGGGGTCCTGCTGGGTACCCCTCCACATGACTGTGATGCACATCTTTTGAACAGGCCTGATGGTATTGAGTTGGCACATAAGGCCTGTCCGCAGTATCCTAGGTACATTTAGTCACAGGTCTGGCATCTTGGCAGGGAAGACTGGGCTGAGTGGGACCCAGATTTCTGTATGTGGCCTTAGCAATACAGTCTAGGTAGATGAAATTCCCACTTGGTGACTCATGACACCCAGGGAAGTAGTCTGGGGACTGAGATAAAGACTTCTGACCTGGCCTTGGAAGTTGCAGTGTAACTTGCCACACTGTTGGTCAAGCAAGTCCTTTAAGGTCAGCCAACATTCAAGGGTACAGGGATTATGCTCTGCTTCTTGGTGGGGAGTGAGGGACTAGGCAGAGAAGTAGCAAAGAATTTGTATACCACTGTAACTGATGAGAATGGTCTAGAAAAAAAAAGTATCATTAGACATAGCTAAAGCTGGAGAATTAGGTTGGAGCCAGATGGTACAGGGCCTTCAGGTCAYAGTGAGGGGCTTGGTGTATGTTTCAAGGAAGCTATTTCTGCTATTGTGTGAAACATGGACTGGAAGGGGATCAAAGAAGGAGGAGGAGACAGAGCAGATGTCCATAGTGGAGGATGGTGACCCTGACCAGGATGGGAAGTGGACATGTTGGAGAGAGGTCAAAGTGGTGCCATTGGCATGGCCTCCTGATGGACTGGTTGTGGGAAGAGGGGAATTCAAGGGCGACTTTTTTGTTTGTTCTTTCAGATATTCAAGTTGGGTATGAAAGGAAACTTTATGGGACAGGAAAAAAAAATTGAAAGGGACAGGCTCAAGACAGAGATTGAGACATGTGGCAAGAGGGTGGAATGAGTCCCCAAACAGGTGAGGAGGCCAGACACTGGCAGATGCTGAAGAGGATGGTGTGAATCAAGAGCCAGCAGCCTCAGTGACCAAGACAGTGACCACAAGGCCAGTGCCAGCTGCCAGGAGGTACAAGTGGGCATGTCAGGACAGAGTCTCCCAGGAAAGGGGCACTGGAGGATCAGAGTGGAAAGTGGTCTGGAAGTGCACTTCAGAGCCATGTGGGACCCAGTGGCAGGTGTTGTCCTTTGACATTTGGGGGAGTGTGATGGGGAGCAGCTGCAAAGATCCAGTAGCTCCTGAAGGGGTTAATTACTCTGTCATGTTATCCTGACCTATTGCTTTTGTCATCTTGTATCTAAAGTAAACTCTAAGGGGCGGTGGGGGGGGCAAACACAGACAGGGCCCTGTGAGTGCCCCCAGGGTCCCAGGCTGGACCAGCTTATCTGTGCCTGATACCACCAGGCCTCATCACCTCTGCAAGGGAGGGTGGGGGTACCCTGAGGCTGAGAGAGACCAGAGAAACTCACCCATAGTCGCTCCACTAACAGACACCTCAGCTCAGGATTGGTTTCTAGGTGATGGCACCCAGAACTCATCCTCAGATTTACTCTGGTCCGATGTTGTTCACCAGTTTTGGGGTCCTTCACAGATCTCCATCTCCATTAACCTTCCTTTGGTCCCTGGAGAGGGTGGGGTGGGGTGTCCATAACTCTCTGAATTCTCCAGCAAACAAACCCGCCCAGTCAGCAGGTGGCTTCCCCACCAGCCATCATAAAAGTGGTCAATCATGCTTTGAGTTCATTTCAGCGGCCTGATCCCAGCAGTATGCAGATGGACAAGAGGGAGGACAGGCTAGTTTAGACTCTGCTTTTCTCCTCCTCTCACCTACTCCCATCCGCTGAGGGCTGAATAAGCCAGGAATGGCTGCCACTCAGTGTTCCCTGGCCTTGCTCAGTCCAACCCTGTGTGGTGGACAGAAGATGGAGGCTCTGTGCAACACTCCCACCCCCACCACCTATGTCCTCTGCTAACTACTGGGAGGACTTTCAGCCCAGCTCTTGACCTCTTTTCCTTATCTGAAGTGTTGGGCTGTGGATCCTGGGGTGAGGGTTAATGGAGGGGCACTGGGCATGAGCTTTGGAGAGATGCAGCCAGCATAGGATCATCACAGGATGCTGGTTCCCTCCTGCTTCTTAGCACAKGTTGTTTCTGGGAAGGTGAGAGCCCCCCCCTCTCAACCCCCACCACACACATGCCTGCCTCTCTCAGCATAATCATCCAGGTGTTTCCACCTGTCAACACTGCCTTTTCCCTGGAGCGTGCTGGCTGCTGGGGCAGAGAGAACACCAGTGAGCTGGTTATGAACAGTACCTCCTGTTACATATTCATCTAGTGCTAAGTAATTAAGTTAATGATGGCTGTAAAACAATCTARTGGCACAAGTTGAAAGAAAATGTGCATAATGTAAAAGTAAAAAAAAAAATTGATTAGTATGCTAGCCACAAAATACTAGATTTCTCCCCTCAAAGATTGTAGAGAGAAGAGTAAAAAAAAAAAAAAAAGTACTAATTGGAAGAAGAGTAGGAAAAAAAAGTACTAATTTCACTGGGAAAGAAGTAGGTATTAGGGGCTGGGGTTGTGGCTCAGTGGTAGAGTGCTCGCCTAGCACATGCGAGGCCCTGGGTTCAATCCTAAGCCCTGGATAGAAATAAACAGGTAAAATAAAAAGGTAATCCTCTAACTACAACTAAAAAAAAARAGAGAGAGAGTGTTAGTATTGCCTTCTTACATTATAAGACTCTATGCCTAGGGGAAAACCTTAAATTTTACTGTTTGTGTGGACATGCTAGCAATATGATTCTGGTTGGACATGAAAAAGTGGGCAAAGAATGTCAGGTTATTATGGCCCAAAASCAAAAAAAATCATCATTTTTTAATGTCAAAATTTGATTTGTTAAAAGTGTAAAACTTTTTAATTGATCCAGAAAGCCACAATAATCACAGAATTATGAATTTCAGATTATATGTAGCAAAATCTATTGGAAATTCAGGAATAAGCTAACAGAATAATATTAGAAGAGCTTAAACATACTTCTATMATGTCTTGACAGAAAAATGCCAATATGGGTATCTAGCATCTAAGAATATTAAAACCAATGATGAAGATAACCACCAACATTTTAGGGGTGCTCGCTGTGTGCAGGGACTATTCTGAGGTCTTTTCACATATTAACATATTTAGTCTTTAAAACAACCTTATGAGGTAGGGATGCTATTATCTCTATAGTCCAAATAAAAACCCACACTCAACAATATAACTAATATACTTTTCCCAAAAGATAAATATCGATCTCTGTAACTTTAAGGATAAAATAGACCTTTAAAGGCCCTAAAATCATTTACCAAGTTAGTCATATTGGGCCTTATAAAACCTCAGTAAATCCTCTTYATTCTTTTATTGACTTCTGGAAATTATAGAGTGCATACCATGTTCTTTGATCATTTATGTAATAAAATAAATTCCATGGATAGACACTCTGCAGTTATTATTATTTTTTATTATTAGGTTTTTCTTTTTCATATTTTTATAATCTAATACATATGTATTCTATGCTTATAAAATGACTAGTTGAAAAAAATTTTTTAAATTATTTCTCTTGTGAGTTTGTAGAAACCAGCCAACTAAATCTAAAGAACCAAGAACAGGATTCAGAGCTGGATATGGGACCCATCCCAGGAAGAATATGGGGCATAATTTGTGTAGTTAAGGAAASATGTGTTGTCCAACCCCAAATGAATCACTTTCTTAATGAAGATGAAATAATAAMGCACGTCGCAATTAACGATGCCTTAGAGTGGGTGAAATGCAGCAGGCATCTGAGTTGCAAGTGACTTCAAGACAGAGTCTGTGGTTCTCAGCGATGCCTGGTTCACCAGGGCAAAATCCAGGACCTGGCAATTCTGAGCATGGAAACTAAGAGGTGCAAGTCACGAGAACAAACAAGGTTGTGGCTTAAAGCAGCATTGGGGGACATTGGAGCTTTGTGCCGAGTGGAGGCCTCTTCAGCATGGAACAACAGGAAGGTGGTTTTCTAAGGTGCAGMGTTTGGGATCCTGAGTGCCTTCTGCTTGTTCATACCACGGATGACCTGATCATTGAAGTATCCTGTGAAAGGGACAGCTGTAAAGTCCCAGCCAAGCATGGGAGGAAAACACAGATGAACAGCAACTGTCTCAAAAGACTATGGACTAGTGGGTAGGAGAGTTGCCTGGGAGAGGCAGGCACAGACAGAACCGAAACCTTTTTAGATCTGTTGCTTATAGGAGTTAATACTGCCTTTGGTTTTGCAATTAGGTCAAATGCTTTGTGCAGAATAAATCAGCCACCTAAACCACTCATACAGACTCCAGCATCTTGTACATTCAATTACTGTTCAAATATTGGCTTTATTACCTCATTTCCCGGAGGACGATCTGTCGTCTCTCAAGGTGCTCCCACCTTTTGGCAACAAAGGAGCTGAATGTTTAAAACTGGATGCATGCTCTCCGTAGATATCAGGGACCTTGCTCCCAGG